TTGCCACTCCAGTGATATTACTACTTCATTCTCCCAGCTCTTATGGGTTAGGGTTAGGGACTTGGAAATGGGGGGGGGGGGAAAGATTAAAAATAAAAGTACAGTCCCAGAAGGAAACTTAGGAGGAGATGCTCCTCATCCTTAGCGGGAAATTATTAAGCTGTACCAGACTGTAAATAATTAAGGACAGAATGTAGCACCAATAATCCACAATTTCAGAGTCATTTTAAATAAGAAAAATGTGATCAGACTAGATCTCATAGTTCAAGATGAGATATATATATATTGGTTAGCACATGTACCTCTATGCTTTTCCCCATAAGTTACATTTTTAAGACTGGTTACCACAATGAATAAAAAACCTAAAAATGGATGAAAGTAGGGGATTAGGGTGGAAAGCTTCCAGTAAAGGAAATATAATGGCCATCTAGGGGAAAGGAGAGGTTGGATCCAGCAATAAAGGTAGGCTGGAAAGAAGGAGCAGGGGAGATGGGAAAGCCAACTCAGGATGCATACTTGTTTTTCCAGGGTCATCCTCACAGAGGGTCAAAAAATTCAAGATGGCAGCTATATGGCATATGATTGATGCCATATTCCTTTGATAGTTGCAGCCAACATTTTGACTTTTTTTTACCCCACCCAAACCTAATACCCATCCATCATTCCTTCACCTTCAACAACTAAAGTCAAATTATTGCCTTTAACCATAATGGTCTGGTTTTGTTGGGAGTATGAGAGATTGGAGGGAAGGGAAATTAAATAACAAAACAAAACAGAAATTCAATTAAGGTGAATTTTTCCAAATATCAGAAAAAAAAAATTCAGGTGTACTGCAATTAAAGTTCCTGAACTTTTGCCTATTGTTCACATATTTTTACATAGGACCCTTGACTATGGTACCTGGCATTAAAATCTTCTGGTACTAAATGCATTTCATAGCTCATAATTGATCTGTGATTTAACAAAACAATTGAACAAAATGGCACCTACCCCAATAAATAACTACAATGTTAAAGAGATGTTCAAATATAAATCAGTAGGAAAACGCAAAACAGAAATATTTGTATCTTCTATTTTTCATAAAAGATACTGTTAGAAAAATAAGAGGCAATACAAGAAGGGCCTAAAGAACATGACAAGACACTGATCACAATGAAGAAGGTTCTATCAGCAGTGTGGAAAGTGCTGTGCAAAAATAGCTGGGTACTTATTTTAGTGTTATACATTAACTTTGAAAAGGACACATTACAGGAGCACTGTTGAAATACACTAAGGGTTAGAAATCTTAATCTCTTCTACATACTACCTTGCTAACACAATGTCACTGAATAGTAGAATAACTCAAGCATGGATTTCTTTGCTTTTTAGAATTCTAATGTGCTTTCAGGCCTCTAATAAGCACTTTTATTCTTTAATCTTAGTTGATTTACACTTTTCCTTTACTAGGAAATTAGACGAAACCAAGGGATACCATAGGTTTTCCATTTTTAAGCACAATGCAACTGAGCCTTGCCCAGCAATCCCAACCCCTTATAATGCTTCAGAAGCGTCTGACTTGTCTGACTGAACACAACTTCAATGAATTTTTCAAAAGAAAGAATGCCTTGTTGGCTGGAAATATTTGAATTTATTGGATTCAAGCTTTTTTCTGTTAAATAGCACTCTTTGTTTCAACAACTCTGTCCTTTTAGCGGCAAAGAAATAATGATGGACAGGGAAATGGTCATGAAGTTGGAAAGTTTGTGCCAAATACCTATTGAGCCAAGGATAAAAAAGAGTCACTAATTCTCTCTTTCAGTTCCTCATATGTAGTAGGACATTAAAGGTTTATTATGAGGATAAGCCAAATGAAAACCATACGGTATTTTCATCTGTTTACAGTTTGATATCAATGATAAATAACAATTAAGTTAATAGGAAGTTACCCACTGAGTTCTGAACACCAAAAATTCCACCTACAGGAAGGAAAGGTTGGGAGAAGTGGGTGTAAGTTATCTGTTCTCATAATAATCATTGTGATCAAATGCCTTGATTACAGGAAATGATAAACACCAAGCATAGCATTTCTTCAACATGACTAAATTTCAGCAACATTAAAAACAAAAAAAACAAAAACAAAGTTGACAAGAAACATTTTTTATCCAGTTTTTTACAATGTCATTAGTTCCATAGCTGAGCTGCATGTGACTAGGAAAGATGAAGATTGATCTCCTCATTCTCCATATAGTGCTCTGTGATATTTACAGGGATGACTAAATAGTATTAGCAAAATCAGGCAAACTCATGGAAGTCATCTGTTGCTGTTAGCTGCAGATGGCAGCCTAATCCAGGAGGAGAGCCTTCTCTGACATTGCCCCCGCCCTTTGCAATAGTCTCTCTCTAGAAGTGCGGCAGGCCCCTTCCCTCCCGGCTTTCTGGAAAGGATTGAAGATCTGGCTCTGCCAGCTTGTGTGGAGTGACAAGAACCTTACCCAATCCTGGGGGTGGCTGGAGCCTTGATGACGCTCCCTGAGTTATTGCCAATTTTAACAGCTATGCTTGGATTATATTTATTTTCTATTTATTTAGGATGATTTTATACTGTAATTTCGATTTTAACTGCTTCGTAAACCACCCAGAGTCTTTTTTTAATGAGATGGGCAGTGACTAAATAAATAAATAAATAAATAAATAAATAAATAAATAAATAAAGCCTATTAGACATAAGCAGCCTTTCTCAACCAGGGTTCCATGGGAGATCATGATTGAAAAAAAATATCATTTTTTGAACTCTTCACATTGTATAATGCTAGCACACATAATGGTGGGAATTTTTACATACTGTGACTCAGCTGTCATGCTTTCCTGACTCCAGAAAATTATTGCAAGGGTTCCTCTGTGGTAAAAAGGTTGAGAAAGGCTGTCCTAAAATGTTCAATGCAGGGAAGAGAGAACAAATGACATTAACTGTCAATTTTCAACAACTGCCCCATCCCCCCAAATCATTATGATAAGTGCTATTGAAAAGAAAGTCAATTTTGGAACATTAAACATTGGACAACATTCCTCAAAACGAAATATAGGAAAAATACCCCAAATACTGAATCTAATCCTGTCTGTTTATAGGTTGCAATACATTTGCTTTAGATTTTTATAATCGCTTAGACCAAACCTGTGCACACAGCTGACACAGTATCATCTAAAAAGGATTTTTATCAATTCAGTCTTCCCTCTGCAATCCTTTGGCTTTTCCTTAGAGCCTGGGGACTTTGGGAATGATCATTTGTGTTCAATGGGGAAATGGCAAAATAATTTTCATCCCCTTTATACAAACAAGGACAACCTCTTTTATTGAGGGGTCAAGTTATTCCATTTATGGAAGGTAAAACCTGGACCCTCATCAGTGGTAGCAGGTTGACCAGATATATTTTACTTTTTCATAATTCAAGTATGCAGTGACAATCAGGTTTATATTCTATTCAGAGCTGCCTTTATTTGCTACTGAGAAAGCAGGTCTTTGGAAATCCAAGCAAACCAAAGATAATGGCTTCTTTATCCATTTTTTATCCCACCACAATCAAATTATTATTGGTGGCTTACATAGAATAGAAAACAGGTTAAACCATTCACATTCTGATTAAAATACCAACAGGGACTATCCAAAATGATATAAACAAGAGATAACAGTTTATTTACTTACTTACTTACTTACTTATTATTAAATTTGTATGCCGCCCATCTCCCCCCAACGGTGACTCTAGGCAAAACATAAGAACAAAAGACAGAGCAAGAGAACAAAAGGATAGCATCATGAATAAGCTTAAGAGAAAGCCCTCTGAAATAGTTTGGTTTCCAACAATTTCTCAAAAACCAGCAAGGAGGGGTCTAGCCTGTTCTGCACTGAGAGGCTGTTCCAGAACACTAGCACTGCCACAGAAAAGCAACCCTTTCTAGCTTCCACCCCCCAAATGTTCAGAATTGTGGAACTACAATTAGCTTCTCCCTGAATGTTCTAGTAGGTTTTATCAGTGCTGATTGGGGTAGGCAGTCCTTTAAGTACCCAGCTGCCAACCATAAAAGACTTTTAGGTCAAAACCATCACCTTAAATTGCACCAAAAAAACAATTGGCAACCAATGTAGGCTCTACAATGTTGGTGTTATATGCTCCCAGTTCCAGGAGTCAGTTAAGATGTTGTGTTCTGGATAATTGTAGTTTCCTGGTAGTCTTTAAGGGCAGCCCCATGTAAAGCATATTATAGTAGTCTAACTGGGTGGTAATGAGAACATGAGTTACTGTTGCCAGCTGCTCCTGCAACAGATAAGGCCACAGCTGACATACCACCTGACTGAAATTAGTGTTCAATCAGAAGCTGTGGGTCAAGAAGGACCCCCAAGTCACAACCCTGCTTCTTCATGGTTGTTCAGGGACAACACTGGTGACAACAGAGAACCCCACTGTATCCATCTTACTTGGGTTCAACAGCCTGTTCTCTCCCATCTAGACCTTTACAGCCTTCAGGCACTGGGGAAAGATATTGACAGCATCTCCCTTGCCACCCAGGGTAGTGATGTACAACTGGGTATTATCAGTGCACTAATGATACTGTACCTGGATGATCACACCCAGTGGCTTCATGTAGATGTTAAAGAGTAGGGGAGAGAGGACCCACCCATCAGGTTGATTTCTCACCCACAACACAGACTGAAACCACCCACTGAGGAAGGAAGGGATCTACTTTAAAACAATCCAATATGTATTTCATTTTCATTTTTAGTGTAAACACTTGAATGTTGTTTTGCTGAACCAACAATCATGCTTCAGCTTGCTTCTCTGAGAAGTACTTGTGTAGTCCTCTGAATGCAACTTAATATTCATATACAAACAAGGACAATCTCTTTTATTGAGGAGTCATGTTATTCCATTTATGGAAGGTGAAACCTGGATCCTCATCAGTGGTAGCAGGTTGACCAGATAGATGTTACTTTTCCATAATACTTTTCTTCTATTGCTTTTCAGCAAATGGAAACATTTCCTTGCAGCTTGCTTACTGTTCGTGTAATACGACTAAGGAATCTCCAACAGGCTGATGTCTGTGAGTGACCTGTTTCATTACAGTTTCAGACTTGAACTGTTTTCATTTTTAATTTAAATGTATTAGCCATGGTTATTTAGGCATCTGTAGATTAAAAACAGCTCCAGAATTTCATTCGTGATGAATTTATTGCATAAGGAACTGCATTTATGTCTGCATCCCAGTAGGCTTTACAACTTAATGATTAATGAATTCTGAAGTTGAATGAAAGAAATATTTGGAATCTGTGTGGGTAGGAAGACTAATCTTGAGACTGATATCCTATGAAAGATCAGGAAAAAATGTGGAGCAGAATAAAAACCAAGAAGAATATGTTAGTTCTTGAAATCACAAATAGATTGGCTATGTTGAGGCATAAGATATTTGAGCAGCCAAACCCATTCATTTTGTCACATAAAATTGATTTACAAGTTTATAACTTTAATGTGTGGGCCATCTCCCTTTGGGAAACATAGGAAACCAATGTCTTTGTTAACATAGCTTGCCTAAACTGGTCTCTCAAATTGCTTTGGGCTGCAACTCCTATCATTCCAGATTATTGGATGTTTCAACTGGACCGTATAATAATTACAGCCTACAACTTCTGAGGGATATTGTTGGTGGGTTGATCTCTCTGGCATAGGGATAGGGAATCAGATAGTTTCCAGATGTTTTGGCCTTCAACTTCCATTACCTCTAACCAGCATGGTCAATGAGAAGGTCCTGAGAGCACTAAAGTTCAAAACTTTTAGAAGGTATACAGTAGTGAGTAGCTTGTATTAGATTATTGAACAATGCATGCAGAAATTAGCAATGATGTTCAATACCTATATATCTGCCAATTGGTCAAATATATGTTTCAGTGAATCTCTAAGCAAACAGAAGCTGACATAACTCTACACAGTAAAAGTTAATCACAACATCCTTATATACATTTGAATATATTAGTTACGTGGAATTGTTTGCAATTCAGACTAAGAAAACAGGTGCAGAAGATGGGAAACCCTTGCAATCAGTTCTTTTAACACCTCCTTTGTCAGGTGTTAACACATTTCATGTGGCCACTATGAATCTATTCTTGTTCTTTGAATGTTTTCTCACTCTTTACAGAACTTTTCCAGGTCAGAAATCTTTTTAGATATTCTTGCATACATTGCATGTTTGTGATCTCCTCACAGATTTTCAATAATATTCAAGTCTGGGAAATGTGAAGGCCATTCCAAAGCCTTTATCTTTCTTTCCTGTAAATACTTTACAGTTGATTTGGAAGTATGTTTTTTATGGTTGTCTTGCTGAAATATCTGACTTCTTTTCAGCTTCAATTTCTTAAGTGAATGTGGGACATCGGCTTGTAGAATATGTTGATATTTAGTTGAATCCATTCTTCCTTCTTCTTTCCCCTGGTGCGATATTTCCTTTGTCAATGGCTGCCATATTACCATAAAGCATAATAAAGCCACCCCTATGCTTGATGTTTGCCAAAAGGTTATTTTCTTCAAATACTTCACTGTTTTTTTCACCCCAATATATCTTATATGCTTGAAGTTGAACAATTCCATTTTTGTTTGTTCACTCCAAAGTACTTTGTTTCAAAATATTTTAAGCTTCTCAAGATTTTCTTTTCTGTGCTTTAGATGATGACTTTTCTGATGAGGCCAAATTTGCAGAAAGGTGTATGCTTAACTTTATAACATGTAGACGCTGTGTCAGCTTCTCTTCATTTAGGAATATATAGAAACATAGAATTTGATCAGGGTGCCTAAACTTGTTCGTGTCATTGCATATTTGCAAGGTAAGCAGACTTGCCTAAAACCATCCCTCTACCACTCTAGGGCTTGTTCCTCCCTATACCCATTGAGCAAAGAATTTCATTGTCATGAGGAAAATGTATAAAATCAGTTCCTAAACTAACCTCTTGGTTCATTTGAATACATTTCCGTTCCTTTAATACAGTTTCTCCAACTTACGTGATATCAGAGAGATGTACTGAGTGTTAAGCCACTGTATTGTACATATGATTGTTTTGAAGCCTCTTCTTGGATTATGTTTCACTGGTAAAACATCAAGGGTTTTTTTTGCATAATACTATTATCATTATTTAAAAAAACCCAAGACCTTTAATACATCCAAGTACAGCTGCTGTTTGCATTTCTCAAATGTAATTCTGATGTTGTCATATGTATATTATAGCTAGAATGTTGTCTTTCTCCTGCTATGCATGGAATGTCTATCAATATACATAAGCATTTGTGAAGGGGAGAGGGACAGGTGATGAAATGTGTATTATGATGTCGCTGTGTAAATTCCATTTTTTGAATTTTGTTTCAAATTTTGAAATTTAAAATTTTGAAATTTGAATCCATGTGAGTCTCAGTACAAGTAAAAAGGAGTAGAATTTGCATTGTGATATCACAATGCACATTTTATCATATTGGCTTCTTTGTGGTTAGGAATGGATGCTTATGGTGCACAGATGCATCATATGTGTAGGGAGGAATGGGCAGATGTGAACCATAAGAACTATACTTTGCAGGAAACTGCATATCTACAGTGTTGTACAAAATCTGGGGGGAAAAAAGGCTGAGGGTTTCTAATTCATTAATTCTCCTTGGTGGTGATGGGGACCCTAACGCAAGTTATTTGAAATTCTTAAAAATAGTTGGGGAAAAATTGGACACTTCCCCTTAAATGACCAGTGTGATGAAAGATAATAGATATGTACATCTGTCTCTGATATATTAAAACAGGCCATATGATATAAGAATTGCAGAACTCGTTGATTTATTAGCATACCTTTTGTTTTGAGGTATCCCAAGGTAAATGCTTTGTGATTATTGTTTAAGAGCTTTGCAATAAATTAGGGTGGGCCCAATGATATAATGATAGATTCTTGCATGACAGAGCCTCAGCCATCTTTGTGATTTACACTGTCTTGAGTATGGGAGGCAGCTGGCTTAGAAACTGGCAACATGATCTTTTTTTTCTCTTATGCAGTAAGCCACTCTGATTGTTATGTGACCCTAAACCTACCAACCGCTACAAGTGAGAAGCTGAGGACCAAAACTGTAAATAATTGCAAGAACCCTGTTTGGAATGAAACCTTTTACTACAGAATTCAAAGACAGGTCAAGGTGAGAAACTTTTCTCTCTTTTTCAGCTGCTGAACAGGTCCTAAAATATATTCCACTTTATCCACATTTGCATGCATTGCCTGATGTCAAGATATCTGCAGGTTTTGGGGTGGGGTTCTGTTTGCCTTTCACCAACATGCTTATTTGGGTTATTTTTTAAAAAGCATAGATAACTGAGAGAGGATATGATAGCATTTGCTTCTCTACTCTGAGTAGGTATTTATACACACCTAACTTGTCTAGTATGGGTAGAATATTTCTCATTTTTACTCCTCCAGAAAATTATGAAAAGTAAAGTACTATAACTCTAGAATGAAGCAAACAATTATAACTTGAAAGGTTGCTTGTAACTAATGAAACACCTCTCTGCTTCATTAAAGTAGCTTTTCTTTTTTCAGGAAGCCTGAAAAAAATTGCAGCTGCTTTAACATCACATTAACTTTAATGAATCAACTCCTTAATGCAGCCACAACTTTTGTTCATGTTGAAGCCTGGAGAAAGATTGGCAACTTTAATGAATGGCAGAGATGTGCTGTGCTCATGGTCATATGAGTTCTGAAGATCTTCTTCCAATTCATTTTTAAATCATGCATAACCCTACTTGCCAGTGAATATTGAAAGCATTGAAGTGTGCAAGGCTTTATGACAAAATCATACAATAACTTCTAACTTCTACATTTTCAACATCATTTTAAATATAGTAACACTTCAGGGAAGAGAATAAATAGAATCTGATAACTACAGTCTGCAACAATAAATATCACAAATCTTGAAGCAACTTATGGACATGTATTGTGGTGTGAGTTTTCATCAATAAAATCTGAGTCCTTCTGATCTACTTGACATAGATTCTTGTTTATAAAAGATGATTCCATAACTAATGTGTTCTCTTTTGTATGCCAGAGTCAGGTTAGAGTTGGGTGGGTTATAAATTTAATAAATAAATACCACAAGACTCTTCTTTGTGTTTGCTACTACAGACTAAGAGTTGCAAAGCATTCTGTACTGTGGATTAAATTTCAAGGAAGAGGAGAACATTCCACCTTTCTTACAGACCATGCAGATATGTCCTCTCCAGAAGTGCTCCAGCAGTTTTTTGGAAGTAAATCTTAGACCATCTATTTTAGGCATTGCACTGTAAGAGAGATATAAAACAAACAAGAACAAACTTAGGGAAAGACAACTAGGATGATCAGGGACTAGAATCAGAATCCTATAAAGAGAGACTGCTGGAACTAAATATGTTTAACCTTGAGAAGTTTGAGGGCTCATCCTCATATCCCATTAAATATGGCATGAAGATGCTTTGCTAACCAATTTTAGAGGACATGCCCTCATTTTGTTGCCTCCAACCCATCCTTAGCCCACCATGAAGGTATCCTAAAGTCATATTTAGCTGTCCCAGTTTCAAAATCAATATTTTCCCTCTTCTTCCAATAGGAATCATGCTATATAAGCAATCAAATGCCTCATTGATTATGTTGGTGATGATGCAATCAGAGGCTGGAATCTGCTGAATGCTTATTGCTTTCTTTAGGTAGCAGATGTGGCCCAGTCATTTGGCACTATCCTCCATGGCCATTTTGACTTGGGCTACCAGAGAAATTAGACATCTGCCTCCCACAGATGCATCTGCCTGCATAATGTCTTCATTGTTGTGGCTGCTATTTGTGTCCTTTATTGTAAAATGGCAATAAAGCAGAGATTCCAAGCATTTTCTTGTGTTAAGGAAGGATAAGTACATATAGCCATCCAGATGTTGCTAAGCCATAAACCCCAGCAACCCAAACATCATGATCAGTGCTGCGAGAATTACAGAATCTGTATTTCAGCCACATCTGCCCTAATTTCTGTTTTATAGATAAATACCTGCAATATAATATACTTCTTGTTCCTCACAGAACCTGCTAGAGTTTTCTCTGTATGACTCAGATGTTGTTACTCCAGATGATCACCTTTTCACTATAAGCTTTGATGTAGCTCGTCTGCCAGATAATGAGAAAGTTCTTATGTGTTTTAAATGTGATCCACAGGTAAGAAATATTATACCATAAGAGCAAGTATACTTTAAATGCCTACATAGTTTATGACCCATCAAACTAGTTCACTAGTGATCAGCAGCTTGATAAGCCTTTTTCTTGGCTGCCTGCCTGGTTACCCATCACTGTAACTACAAAATGTGGCTATTGGGCTACCATAGCTTCACTGAATCTCAAACAAACAAACAAAAAACCTCCAAGATTTTTCTCCATAATTGATTCATCAGCTATATCTGCAAAAAACGCTGATAGTAAATGATAAGTCATTGGGAGTTGGGTGGCATATAAATTTCCATCATATTATGATATGATGATTTGATACATCTTATGAAAAAGAACCTCAGAATTTGGCTAATGTTGAGCACCAGAAAAGTGGGAGTAGGTAACCTGCATTTCTGTGTTGGCAAGAACATTATGCCACATTATAAATTTTTCAAATACATCATATTTGTCACATTATATGCCACATTAATACTGTCTGATTTTTTAAAGAAAACTACTTTTTGATGGAGTTCACTTTAGAAAACTCCTTTGAGTTTTTTTTTTTTAATGGAGTTCACTTTTGCCTAATGTTTAGCATTGCAGCCTTATTTTAATTTAATTTCTGGTTGATTATTCAGTTATGTATAATTTCCATGAGGGGCAAGCACAAGAAGGAAAACCTGGGTGGAGAATTGCCCTGTCTGAGACTGTCTAGGTATTGAGTAAGTTTCACATTGGTTCAGTGAAGAACTAATGACTTCCACTTAAATATAAAGTAAAAAAATGAAAATATAAAGATGGAAAAAAGTTCTGGTCCAGTGATGTTTTCCATTAACTTGGAAACAGCTGATAGTTGTCTACATTTGATGCTACCTAATGTGACTATCTAACTGCAGGCTAGAGTTCCCAAGTTGTCTTTTTGACTTTAACATAGGAGTAGGCAATCTGGTGCCATTGAAACCCTTGGGACTTCCATTCTGTCTATTCTAGAAATCATGATTATTGCCAAGATAGAAGAAAAAATATAATTTGGACAGCACAAGGTTGCTTACTCTTGTTTTACTACAGTGAAATTTCAATTTGCTAGTCCTTGATACAACATCCAAATGCAATGGACCAAATTCCATAGTGATTTGTATTATTTGCATTATTTGTGTGATGTCATCACTCAGTTGATGTAAAATCACAGCAATGCTGTACTCTCTGATTTAAAGGACATTCATCAGCCACAGATACATCATCTCCCCAACTGGCGCATTAAAAGGAAGTTTTACTATACGCCATAGTTTGTATCTTGAGTTGTCTTTCTATGAAAGAAAAAGATTCACATTTGTTTGGGTTCTTTGTCAATTATCACTTCATCCTACATACATAACCAACAAGAGCCATGCTATTTTGAAGGATCCACTAATCCTCCACAACAAATTGGGAGTGGGGGGGATGTATAGGTGCTGCAAAGGAAACTGGCAAAATCTCATTCTCTTGTACCAGCAGAAAAATCCCACTCACCTACAAGCTCACATATATCTATTATGAAATTAGTTTCATTGAGGCAGGATATTAATCAAATACATGAATAAATAAAAACTTCCATATATTTGCTTAGTATTGATGACAACGATAGACGTGTTTGATAGGAAAGTGAATTGTTTACTGACAAATGTCCAGTTTTCATGCTTACATCATGTTTTAATATGTCATTTGCCAATTTTTAATGTGAAGTGAATGTTTATGCATATACTTAAAAATGATGTTAAAGGAAAGATTATGCACCCATTTCAATTTCAGTTTTACTAACTATTTTCTTCCTGGCAGGCACAAGAAGAGCTGGAAGTTGAATTTATAGTGGAACCTGCGTAAGCATTTTCCATTCTTTATCTTTCTACATTGCTATGACATAGTACAGAAAGTAGAGACAAGCAATAGGTACAAGAATTTCAATTTTCAGTAGGAATAAGTAGGCTTGAGTACTGTTTTTCATCGAATATTAATAAAATGCAGTCATGCATATATTAATTTGTTATGCCTATCTACTGCCACAATAAGGAAACAGCAGTATAAAGCTGCTTCCTTAAATCTGTTTCACACTGTTCCAATAATATAGGAAAGTGGAACAATATAAAGGTTGTGGTAGAAAAACTCACGAGATAAACACCAACATCTGGACAGGGTCCAAACAATTGTTTCAGTAAAGCTAGCAAGTTACAGTGAATTACAGGTCCCTTGTACCCAAATGAGCCATAAGCAAGAGCCACTAGGCTACATAAATGTTATACATCATGTTGATCAAAAACAGCTTGAACATGCATACATGTTAAAAAGAGATCCCAATAGAAATAATTGCTTTATAATTTATAAGGAAACAAGGTAACTACAAGGAAAGACATAGGCATCCTTTATGGTATAAAAGCATGACAGACACATTCCTTGAAAGGCAGCATAGTAGCTGTAATAGATGACTTACAACAAGGTTCTAACTGTTATTCTAACAAGCAGTCCTAGTACTATACTGAGAAAGGAGGGGGAGAGAGAGATAAGACACAGCAGTACTGATTCTTCAATTTATGCTCTCTTTAAGGTATGAAATCTATAATCAGTTAGAAACCATCAGCACATGCTGGTACAGCAAGAAACTCCATTTGTAAAGGTGCTACATGAGTACCTATACAAAGACATGTATAAATACTATATTGGTATAAGAAAGCACATGATTATGTAATTAATTCAACTCTTCACAGGGCTAAATCAAATATCAGAAGTCTGGTTCAGAAGAAGCACTAACACAAGTGGTCTTTACATTGTTTTCTATATTACTACATGGAACTATGACAAACCATCAAAATAAGAACTTGCTCACAATTTGGGGCTACTAAAGGAATTTTAAAACCTCAGTATATGGATCATATACTAAACATGCATTTTCAGTTTCTATTTGGATGAGAAGGAAACAATATTTGCTGGAATATTGGAATTATCTATCTCTTTACATTTGTTTTCTAGGTCAGGTCCTCCGGAAACACTAATTACAAATGGAGTTCTAGTGGTAAATTTTAAATTTTATTTTTCATGACACTTTTTGCAGTTTATCACTGTTAATAATACTGTTGTGATCTAGGTGAATGTGAGATATGAGTAGCCAACTCACATTTCTGCTGAGAATACTCTGATACTTCATTCTGAAGCACATGTACTTTAAATTCACGATGATTGAATTCCAAATCAATTTGGCCATATAATTTAACCCTTATTTAAGCATAGAATAAGAACTGGATTTTCTTATGAGGATTGTAAAATACATACCATATTCATCTAAAAGGAAGACAACCTCTAAATTGAGTAATACAGGTTTAAGGTATCTCTTCCACCTTCCCCAACTTTGCCATGGATTCCCAGGGTAAAAGATTAATCCCTTGGTTTGTCCTCTTTCTTTACCACTGGTAAAAAGAGTTGTGGAATTAGAAGCCAGCCATTAATTGTGTGTACATGATACCCAGCTTTGTATGTTTTAAAAGACATTGAGAAGAACTCAAATACCAGCCAGGAAACACACTGCCAGATTCAGAAATATGTTTTTTTGTGGATCTCTTAAAACATTTCCCACTTTGAATAAAGAAGACAGAAATTGTTTTGCTTTTCAAGAGATAAACCAAAGTGCCTCAAGAGCTGACTATTGTCAGGATCTTCATGTGGAGATCATCCTGGCTTGGCTAGAATAGATCATCTCCTACCTTCAGTTGACTACTTGGTACCAAGATAGCCCTCCATATTAGCAATACTACGGATGAGATTTCATACAGCTGGGTCCAATGGATTTCACACACTCATTGGTCAGGAAAGCAAATTTCTTCTGAAACTACCTCATTGATTATTGTATTTCTATTACTGGGGTTAAAAGATACCTAGCTGAGTCTGGAGGAGATAACAAGAATTATTTTGTCAATTACTAAGTTGTCTTGCAAATTTATATTTAATTTTGTTATTAGCAAATATTGTTAAATTGTTAATTCTAATTAAAAGTGTATTTATTTCCTTCTTTTAATTTTGAATCATTGATCACTCATTACATGTTTCTTTTAAATTGTCTAGCTGGATTAATTTATCATCCACCTAGTATAAATTGTGACTTTTCTGAAGACTTATCTTTTTGGTTCTTATTCAAGAGTTGTCTGTTGTGGTTTAGAGAGATTTTAAATATCCCAGACAGTTTTAATACATTTGGATGTGGGTTTTTCTCTTTTAGCTTCTTATAATATGATCCTCCTTAAAACCAACTGATTCATGAACAGGTCATATCCTAGATCTTGTTTGGTCTTATGATATGGCCTGACATTTAGAATGTTGTCATCTGATGACATATTGTTCCATTTTCTTGCTAGGGGTTATCTGCACACTTCTGGTGCTTTATACAGTGACTCCAATTTTTCTCACATTCTTTGCACAACTTATTGACAGGGACACTAGAATCAGCAGAGGTTTAATAATTTCCTTTAATATTGCCACTAAGTTAGCTGTTCGTTTCTGTCTCTTGCCATGGTTAAACTAGCACGTGCTAAGAATCTTTGTCTCTCCTTGACTAACTATGGCATGTAATGAGTGTTCGAATCAGGTGTTTAGAATTGAAGTTTTATGAGTCCCACTAAATTAAATACAAATATGTTCTCATCTGCCCTCGCTTGATTTTTTTAACCTACCTGCTCAAGCAAAATAATATTTCCAGTCTGTTATCTTCCACCAAGCTAAATTACATCACCAGCTTTTTGCTACCTAACAAATTCTTCTGATCCCATTACTCTCAGCAATGACATTGAGATTTCTTCCTCTCTTAGTGTAGATCAGTGACATCCATACATCTTAAAGTTGCCAAGGTTGAGAAACTGTAGATTATGTTGGCCATTATTTTACATCTAAGATTGGAGCCAGGTGTTATCTTGGTTCATTTGACCTGGCTCATATTCGCTCTCCCCTTTTTTTTCCATGCAGTGTCTGAAGAAGTGGTCTTGAAAGCAATATTGTCAACCTTATCTATTTTCTATATTTTAAACAATTTCAGAGCCAGTCTTAACTATCTGTCATCTATATTTGTTCTTTTGGCTCCTTTTGGCAGCTTTTTTATATCTCAGAGAACCAATTTTAGTTATTCCACTGGAGTTCCCATGGTATCACCAACATAGCAGTTTTCTGGTTTCACTCTTATATTTGTCAGGGAAGGGAATGGTCTTGTTCTTTTCCATTAGTGTGGTGTTCCTCTAGGTTCAGTCCTATTTCTCCTTTTGTTTACTCTTTATATCCCACCCTAGGAACTTTCTTTTTATCTTTTCAGCTTCAATAATACATTTTTCCACTAAAACCCTGTTTGCACCCTGTCCCTCTTTTATACTGTTCATTTTAAAACAAAAAAAAGTCCCTTCTAACCCTTATGAGTGGTATGCATCTTCCTCAATCTCAGCTCCTCTACCTGAGGCTTGGGAATTTGAGGGTTCTGCACAGTCTCTTAGCTGTTCCTAGCATTGCACTCTTCTGGATAGACTGAGCTCTGATGTTGTTCCCGGGATCTGTTGGAGCCACCCTCCCAGCTTAGGAGTCACAGCCCCGAGTGCTCCTACCACCACTGGGACCACTTTGGCCTATTCTTTCCACATCCTCTCTAGTTCCTCCTTCAGGCCCTAGTACTTCTTCAGCTTCTCATATTCCTTCTTTCTGATGTTCCTGTCACTCAGCACTGCTACATCTATCACCACCACTGTCTTCTGGTCCTTGTCTACTACCTTGATGTCTGGTCAATTGGCTAGTAGCTGTCTGTCCATCTGGATCTCAAAGACCCACAGGATCTTAGCCCTGTTATTCTCCACAAACTTCTGTGGAATCTTCCATCTGGACTTGGAAGGGACTAGCCCATACACTGTGCAGATGTTCCTGTGTAGAGTGCCAGCTATTTGGTTGTGCCGTTCAGTGTATGCTGTCCTGCCTGCATCTTACACCCTGCCAGTATGCGTTGGATTGTCTCTGAGGTCTCTCTGCACGGTCTGCACCTTGGGTCCTGTCTAGTGTGGCAGACCACTGCTTTTATAAATCTGGTGCTCCTGGTTCTTGTGCTGCCATGGTCAGCGCCTCAGCGCTTTTAGTCCAGTCCTTTCCAGCCACTGGTAGATTTCCCAAGGTCAGCCACCTCAGCTATCTGTTGATGGTACAGATACATTCAGAATATTCCAGGGTTGTCAGCTGTCCACATCTCTTATGGTGGCAATATGCTCACTATGAAGCTATTCATCCATACTTTTCAGTCTAAAAACATTTTTTTTAATGCAAAGCAATTGATTCATGTAGCAGCCTGTTGGCTGGCCTTCCTACCTATATTCTTCACCTTCTTATTCAAAGCAAAAACAACTTTTTGTTGATGGGTTCTCTCCACTGGCTTCCTATCCAGTCATATTATCAGTGTAGACTCCTTGGTGTACTATGGCAGCAGTTCTCAAACATTTTGGTCTCAGAACCCCTTTATATTCTTAAAAATTATTGAGGATCCCAAAGAGCTTTGTTTTATATGGATTATATCCATCGATACTTACTATATTAGAAATTAAAACTGAGATATTTAAAAATATTTATTTATTTCACTTTATAGACCCCTGAAATGTTCCCAGAGACCCCCAGGGGTCCCCAGACCACACTTTGAGAACTGCTGGCTTATGGAAATAGGCTTCTTGTTATGTAGCTGTATTAAGGAATAATTTAATTTTTACTGAACATTGTCTTTTATTTTGGATGATAGTTGCAATGTGTACTGAATATATTCTAACAGGCATAGCTATCAGTTATCAGATGAAGCTACTACTACTACATAGCTATCAGTAGCTATCAGATAAAGCTACTACTCCCATTATGACTATTGAGAGTTAGGCAAAGCATTCAGAAGGAGACCTTTGCAAAGCGCAGGGGCCCAAGCAAAGCACCTCTCTTTAAAATATTGGAGTTCCACACCCTCAATAAGAATCAGTGCAGCTGCTCCAAAGACTTTCCCTAGCTGTTTGTGCAAGGGTGCATGTGTTTTCGTGTGTATGTGTAGACACAGCTGTTCCATTTCACTGGCCAACAGGGAAAGCCTTTGATGCAGCCACATTGACCCTTCCAATATGAAAAATATGGGGAGGTGTTACACTTGTTCCAATGTGTTTTGAAAAGATATATATATATATATATATATATATATATATTCTTTTTATAAAGTTTTGCTCAGCTCTACTACTATCCTTTCAAGAAGGGATGATTAGAGAGAAAAATGGTTATAATGCCATGCAGAAATTCAATCCTAGATATGTTTCCCCCAACAAATGTTGCATGTGACATACTTGTATTTCTGTGTGCTTATATGAATGCGTATGCATATATGTATCTGTATGTATGTGTATGTATTAGGTATAATATGATAGCCAGTTTGGTGTAGTGGTTAAAGGCACCAGACCAGAAACTGGGAGACTGTGAGTTCTAGTCCTGCCTTAGGTATGAAGCCAGCTGGGTGACCTTGGGCCACTCACTTTCTCTCAGCCCTAGGGAAGGAGGCTCTGGCAAACCACTTCTGAAATCTTGCCAAGAAAATTACATAAACTTGTCCAGGAGACAAGACTGACTCAAAGGTACACAGATACACACAAACACAAAGTATATATATGTATACACACACAAACACACATACACTGCCCAGTAGCCACATTCCAGAAAAGGGTAGGACTAGATGATGATGATGATGATGATGATGATAATAATAATAGGTGGATAAAAATGCCAAATACAGTCTAAACATCTGGATGACTGTGCAACCAACAATAATAAAAGAAAAGAAAGCAAAGATAGTACCAATAGTTATAGGTGACTTAGGTGCAATCCCAAAGCATCTGGAGCACCACTTGAAGACCGCTTGACTATCAGTCAATTGCAAAAGGCAGCTTTACTTGGAACAGCTTATATCCTGCAACAATACTTTTAACACCATCAAACAACAACATCTGCCTATCCCAGGTCTTTGGGATGGACTCAATAGGTAGATAAAAATGCCAAATCCAGTCTAAATATCTGGCTGACTGTGCGACCAACCATCATCATAATAATTATAATATAATATA